CACACAACTTTTTTTTTTCCCAATTTTTGTTTTTCCGGTTAAAATCTTCAAAAACACTTTTCAGATTAAAATCTTTTTTTTTCCCCCATTCTCCAAATTTTTTTTTTTTTCAGTTGTAATTTGCTTTTGTTTTTTTAATTTTCAAACCAAATTGTTTTTGAACAAACTTTCTGGCCCAAACTGAGCTCCATACAGATGGTCATTGGAAGCTGGGGTTCAGACTTTGACTTGGACTCCTGCGCTGAGACTCAAGTCTTAGTAAATTTGCATGTCATGTAATGAAGAAAGGATGCGTTTGATGTTAGGCCCGTGATGTCAGGGGATTATGGGATGCCAAAGAACGTCAGTTTAAATGAACAAACAGCTTCCCGTACGTTAGTCAGATGTTTTTCCTTTGTGAGAAAAGATTGTTCAGGAGCAGAAGACGGATAAATCGGGTTGGTTTGTGGGTTAAAGGGTTCAATTCCAGAACATCTTTTAGTCTTTTTTTTATGTGAGTATGCTCTCTGCTTCATGGACATTTTCCCTGGATTTCATGCCTGTCATGAACAGCGAGGATCCCACAGCTCTCTGCCAGTCCCAGACTCATTCTGGTTTCCAGCTCAGCTGTGCAAAATATCCACATAACATTCGAATGATCAGGTTGGAGCAGAAGCTGCAGCGTTTGGGCCGCCCTGCCGACCACAGCGCCGCTCAGCCTCTTCTTCACTTCGTCTAAAAACCATAGAGAACCAGCCAAGGTTTAGAAATGATAACAAATGCTGCAGCTTTTCATCCTTTCATTAAATAAATGCTCTAGATTAGTGCAAGAGAACCAGCCTAACTGCTTCCAGGAATGTTCTTTGGACTGCTTGTAGTTTCAGGCCGATCACCGATCTTTAGAAAACCGTTCTGTTCTCAGTCCAGCTAAATGACACTTATTTAGAGCAGAAAACACCGTGTTTGATAAATATCTTCTTTTTCTTTTGGTATGACAGAATACCAGTTTCATTTTTCTTTAACATTAAAAAAAACATTTTATTTTCAGACATTTTAAAGATTTTAATGACATTTCCTTTTAAGGGAAAACGGCGTAACAAATATTATTTCCAACCTAATGACAAGAGGAATTAGATAAAAGTGGTCAGCAGCGACCGATCGGCCAATATTTCCCTCGTTTTTGGAGATCGGTGATCAGTCAATACTTAAATCTGCTTCTTTGAAGGTCTGAAAATCAGCATTTATCAATCCTGTAAATTTAGCATTTATATTTCAGAGCGTTTTCTTATGCAGTAAAAAAAAAAAGTTGATATTTAACATGAGTAATGTTCAATTTATTTTTAATAAAATAAGACAGAAATATTCAAACATATAATGTCATGTTATTACAACTGTTATTTAAAAAAAAAAATCTGCGTCGGTCAAAATCAGAATCTGTACGTTAGACCTTTGAATATCAGTAATAGGTGATCGGCCGGGATTATTATTATTTTTTATTTTTTTTATGAAACAAGATTTTACAAAAAACTGTTTAGAAAAAAATTTTAACAGTTGAAAAACTGAATCGGCTTAAAATTTTCTTTTAAAAATTGGTGATCGGCCCAAAAACCTACAATCGGTGCTAAAAAAACATTACTGGTACCTTTAGGGTCTTTCTGTTCCACAAATTCAGAGCAGATATTCAAAAAAACATGGAAAACTTCTTTTGTAATAAAGTATTTATTCTCTCCAAATTAAAAAAATTCTAACTGGTTCTCTATCCTTTTAGCAAAAGTTGGTCCAGGGTGGAAGGTCCAAACACCACCTTTTCCAAAATACTTAAAATATAGACCTATGCAGTCCCTAATAACACTAAGATTGTCATGATTTTATCAAGAGCCTGGACCCACATGCAGAGAAACCAATTCAGGGAGACCAGGAGGAAAGGTTTAACAGGTTTATTGAAGAGATAATGCAGAATGAAGTGTTGGTTTATCCAGAATGCGATTGTTTGTAGGTGAACGGAAAAGCTGACTGCCACTCAGATTTCCTGCGGTACTTGAACGGGTCGTAGTGGAGATGAATCCCTTGCTCAGTGTGAAGCTCAAACATCTCTTGGGGAAGAGTAGATTCAAACCTCCAGTTTAAATCCTTAGCTCAGTTTGAAGCTAAGATCATCCTCCCAGGGAGAGAAGGTCCGAAAACATCCAGTTTGCAGGATGACTTCCCAAAACTGGCAAAAACTCTGGCGTCGAGGTAGTGGCAGTCAGCAGCTTAAGAGCGCTCCGTTAGCGAGGTAACCCTCTGCAGGTGTGTGAGCAGGCGGACCAGAACCAGGCGCCACCTGGTGGAGGAAGGAAGACAAACACCGAAACACAAACACACAGACAGGAATCCTGACAAAGATAACTCCCACCTAACAGGATCAAACTTCCTGCTGATCCACAGTATGGAGATAAAGTTTGCTTTATTTGATGATTTTTGGAACTAACAATGTAATGAAAATAAAAAAATAATAATTAGAAAGTAAAAAG